CTGCTGCCTCTGCCTCGTGTCCCCTGAAAATACATGCTGTACTTGTGAAATCTGCTCAGCATGAGGCACCTGCTTATACAAGACCTACTGATCCCCAAATTCCTATCTTTTGCCTCTCATCACTGATCCATGCCTTTGACACTTCATCTTTTAGGATCCTAATTTCTGGGGTTCCTGGTCATAGCACAAACTGGTTTTAACTTTTGATGTCCGGCATGCACCTTCCAAGTGCTTGCATGATAGGCTAGAACCACTGCAGAAAGCTTAGAAAATATTAATGTTTTAGGTAATGAAGATGTTCAGCTGAGAGATGTATGAGAAATTCTAAGTGTGACTTGTTGAAATCCCCAGTGCCTGGTGAATATCCATCAGGCTATTGAAATTTGACCTGGGGTGGACTGGCACCCTTTGATTTGTGAGGCAGGAGCATCACTCCTGTGCACATTGTGTTCACACCAGTGGCTCTGCACCCAGGAGGAAGAAGGGGTACTGCATACAGAGTGCAGTTAGACAGTATGTGTTAGCTATTGGAGGCCAGGGAGGAGTGCTGCTATAGTACAAATCTCTGCACATCTGGGACAGGTCTGTATCTGCTCAGAACTACAGGGTCCAACCCTTCAGTAACTCTCCCTCATGAGAACAGCTCTGTGGTCACCCAAGCCTCACCAGCAAATCAGAACTTCTTGGAGGACCTGCCATCAGATGGGTTGGAGGGCTCTTCTGAGCTCCATGCTGTTGGCTCAGCTCTTGTGCTGAGGGATTCGAGAATGGGCCCTTGTGCTGCAACGTGAACATGACTGCTGGGAGCTGTGTGGAAAGTACAAGTGAGCTCAGATGTCACTACATGGTGAGCAAGGGTCTGCTGTTCCCAGATAGGGAGAGCAGCCGCCTGTGCCTCAGAAACTAGTGTGGCGGACCCTCCCTGGGATGTGTTAGAACCAGTAGCCAGATGCTGAGCCCAATGCCCAGTGTCAATCCGGACTTGATTTTGTCAACCAGGTTTTCCCTTAACTGTGTAGAAGTGTTGTCCAATTGGAAACTGAATACTAAGTGGGTCAAGCTAACTTCTCAAGATTGTACAGCCAATTTGGTCTACCTTTATTCATGTGGCATGAATTAACTCATTCTGGGAAATTCCACATAAAGTCACTATCCCCACCACATCAGGTCCTTCTTTGTGGGTAACATCTTTTTGTGAAGAAGAAAATATTAGTGAGATCGGTTGTCTAAATAGTAGGTCATGTAGACTCATGATTTATGTCTGTGAAGTGCGATTCCAAGGGTTGTTACCAGTTCTCTTAGTCTTTGGCCAAGTAGGAGGCTAAAATTCATTTTCCTTTCTCTGATTTCAATGCCAGTGGAACAACTAGTCCTTAGGGTTCACCTGAGCTTGAGAAGAACCTTAGACTCTTCTAGCCTTTCTTTTGCCAGCTGCCCATCAAATGAGGATAGATCAAAGCTTTGCTTTATGTACTGTGGCTTCCGTTGAAGCCTCCAGGAAATCCTTCCCACATTGAACCCCCTTTTTTAGACTGGACAATGTTTCAAATTCATTGAGTGTCCTCTATGGGCTCCATGAACAAGACAACAAGTGAATAATGGTCTTGATCTCCAGGAACCGCATTGACCTTGTAGGGCAAGGGGAGAAATCTGGGAGAAATCTTCTCCCTTTTGGTTGCTCTAACCATATTAGAATTGCCTCCAAGTGTGATTATTAAATGCTCTGAAGATCAGTTTTACACCAGTTTGATACCTTTAATTACTATGTAATATTTCAATACCTAGACATAATTCATTCAACTTATATTTGACATACATTTTTAGCTAGTTCTTGAAATAGTTGATCTCTGACCTTGCAACTTTAATACAATATGTGATTTCTAAATCTCATCCTTCATGTACCTTAAATTATTAGTTAGATTTTCATAACTTTCGAGAGCTTTCCAGTCTTTTTTATTCTAGAGTCACCCAGTCATTATCCTCTTCATACATCTAAGTACTTTACAAATTCCATTTACATATTTACATTCCTTTAACATGTTACTTTATGTACTGGTTCCTTTATCTAATACCATGAGACTTAGAAACAATAACAAATATTTTTATGATCTGTTGGCAGAATTTTTCTTCCAGGTGAAAGGGGAAAAGCAATGTCTTCTCCATCCGGTAAGTCCCCAATGACAATGTGTAACTTCCCGCCAGCCTGGTCCCAGTGTTGCATCAACCCCAAATAACACAAGAGACTCTATGAGTTACAATGCTGTCGGCCAATGTCCAGGGCTTCTCATTGGCTAGTTCTGTCTTAAGTATTAACCCATGACTACTAATATATATTTCTAAGGACTTATCTTTCCTAGGACAGCATCCTGATGTGTCCTTTCTTCCCCATGATCACATGGCGACTCTCCACCCTTGACTACATTTCCCAGAATCCTCCTCGACTTCTAGTCCCACCTATCTTGCTTCCCTATTGGCCAAAAGTGCTTTATTTATTAACATATACACAGAATGACTTCCCCCATCAACATTGCAAACTGCAATTTCATTACCATCCACCCTGAGTTTATTGACCTTACTTACAGAACATGGTTGAGGAGATAAAAAGAAGAGTTTGGATACTGTGGTGGTTTGTATCAAAATAGCCCCATAGTCCTACAGGAAGGGATACTATTAGCAGGTGTGGCCTTGTTGAGGTTGGTATGTCCTTGTAGGAAGTGTGTCAAATCATTTGCCTGCCTATCTGGATGTAGAACACTAACTTCTTTCTCCATCATATTTTCCTGTACAGTACCATGCTTCCCACCATCATAATAATGAACTAAACCTCTGAAACTGTAAGCCAGCCCCAGTGAAATGTTTTCTTTTATAAGTGTCACTATAGTCATGGTGTCTCTCCACAGCAACAGAAATTCAACTAAGACGGATACCCAAAAGCAGCCACACAGGAATGTCTCCACCAGTGTGTACAATGGCTCTCCTGTAGCTGCATATGTGGAGTTCATCTTCTCTCTACTTTTCCATTGCCCATATCAATAGCATTACATTATATCCTCAGTATATAAAAGGAGGAAGCCTGATAGTATTTCAAGTAAATTCCCTCTCTTTTGGTTGTGAGCCTAGCCTTTAACAGCTGAGCCATCTCTCCAGCCCATACATTCCCTCTTTTTTTTTTTTGTTTTTTTTGTTTTTGTTTTTTCGAGACAGGGTTTCTCTGTATTGTTTTGGAGGCTATCCTGGAACTCGCTGACCAGGCTGGCCTCGAATTCACAGAGATCCACCTGCCTCTGCCTTGACAGTGCTGGGATTAAAGGCATGTGCCACCAACGCCCAGCAAAGATGGCTTTCTTATAGTGTGCATATGCAGAGCCCACCTCCTCCCAAGTCTTTCCCAGGCAATGTACTCTACCTCTTCCTCAAAACCACAAGACCACAAGTCATTAGGGCTGAACTTACTATGGCTGCCTGTGAAAGAGGCTGTGTACTCAGAAGAAGGGGACACTTCCTTCTATGATGGAATCTCAACAGTCAGCCAACCTAGTGGTGGTCTTCCTTCTTAAGCAGGCACAGCTGATCATAGGAGGGTACCAATTGTTTGTCTTAAGATAGTGCTGAGCAACAACAACTAAATAAAAGGAACTTGAATAGAAATTGTTTATAAGACAATGTAATAAATATTTCTTAGGTACAATCTGTTAAACTAAAGCTTAGAGAAAACATACGACAGTCTTCATATAATACATGGCATCACTAATATAACCATGCTTTTGGATTTTAATGTGTATGTAGTCAATACAAAGAAACAGCATATACATAAAAAACATCACTGAATTGACATTTACAGTATCCAGTACAGCACAACTAGGAAATACCTCTTAAATCTCTGATACTCCATCTTACCATAGAGAGATTTTTACACAGAGGGTCTCCATCCTCTCCATAGATGAGCACTAAATTAACAGTTTTTACCACACCCTGTGACTAATTATAGCATACCTAAAAAACAAACAAACATTTAAATCCTAGCATCCTAATCTCTAACTGGCCTGATTATTTGGGGGGTGTTTTAGAGTCACCCCCTTAGCTAAATTCTACTTTGGGTGACTTACTATCTCCTAAGCATTGGTAAATACTTTATATCACCAGTTCTACTCTTCAACATCAAGCTTATATGGAGTGCTACCTAGTACATGAGCTGCCACTCATAACCTCCACAAAATTAACTGCAAATGTATGCTGGGAGGTGGTGGTGCACGCCTTTAATCCCAGCACTGTCAAGGCAGAGACAGGTGGATCTCTGTGAGGCCAAGGCCAGTCTGGCCTACAGAGTGAGTTCCAGGAGAGGCTCCAAAGCCACAGAGAAACCCTGTCAAACAAAACAAAACAAAAACTGCAAAGGGATTTTACACCTAAATGTCAAATGCCAAATGCAGAACTTCTAGAAAATACTTGAGAAACTAGGACTCCCTGAGTTTGGCAACCTGCCTAGGCCTTGGAAGGTTTCTATAATGCCCTGCTGTATAGAGCAAAAGCAGAGCTCCCCTAAAACCTGGAATTTGCTTGCGGCATCTGGCTATAATATGTTGCCAGGTCCTTTGGGGAGGGTGTTGATTCAGATCCTGAGATCCAACTCTTTCCATATATGGGGCTCTGGTTTCCAGTCTCTTTCAGTTTTCTGTGGTCTTTGTTCATAATGTTTGTTTATAACGTTCCTGAAACAGTGTTCCTCCGCCTCCTGATTTTGTACACTTCCTTTTAAAACTGAACCTGTTGGTTTACATTAAGACATTTGCTGTTGTAATTGGCAGAAATCTGTAACCAGTTTGGGATAAGTCTTTGGTGTGGAAACCAGGGCTGGGAACCACCGTGCTGTGTGCCTTCAGGTCCCCTGGCTCCCCAGAAGCACTCCTGTCAATCAGCCCTCATTAGCCAATCAGGGCCTCCAAAGGACCGGCCAGCCAGATGGGAGGGTTCTTCCGGGAACCAGACTTCTGGCGCTGAGCCTCTGCTAAAGAAGGCGGAAGTCGTCCGGTGTGCCGAGGAAGGCGGAAGTCGTCCCGTGTGTCGCGCCCCCCTCTCCGCTGCCTTAAGCTGCGGGCAAGTCCGGCAGCCGCACAATGGTGAGTGAGGGGCCGCTGTGCCCAGACTGGGAGGAGCGGCCGGCTGAGCCACCGGAGCGGGTGCGGTGGCTCCTCCCCTGGCTGGGTGGGAGTCAGCGGCCAGACGCAGAGTTCAGCGTGGTCCTGCCCGGTCCTTCCGGTCTTGTGGGCCGGGCGGCAGCCTCTGAATACCTTCACTCCACGGGCTGAGTTTGCGCAGAGCATTGGGACCCGAGACTGTGCTTGGAAGTGTCTTCGTTGTTGACGTCGCTGTCAAATGCCAGCACCTTTGGTGCTTGTATTGTCGCTATGGAAGGCAGATTTACCAAATCCGGAGAGCCCTGGGCTCTCTAGTATGTTCCAGAAGCCCGGCACTTTTAGCATTTATAACATTTAGGTTTAGGATCCATCTGGATTTAATTTTGTGGAACTTGTAAACAGTATCTCAGGCATAGAGTAGCATAGAGTAGCACTTCACTGCCAAACTGTGATGCCGAAGAGTTGAATGGATGGTAATAGAATTGGCGGTGTAAGGAGTTCTCAGTTCTTAGGGGACATTAAGTCACAAAGTAGAATTTAGCTAATGGAGGGCTGACTCCCAAATATTCCAAAGATAAGTAGTTTGCAAACCTTGCCTGTTAGAGATTAGTATGATAAGATGTAAATGTTTATTCCCCAGGATTATCCAGGTGTTAAACTACATTCCCATAACAAAGGAGACAACCCTGATTCACAAGTCTGAGACCTCCCCCATCAAAGATAGGTCTCTGACTTCCTGCTCAAGGGGCCATTGCAGGGTCACAGCCAACATTAAGTCCTGGTGTGCCGTAAAGGTGCATTAATTCTAGAACAGCTGCATCTCTAGTCCTTTAGAAAAGTGGTTTTGAGTCAAGCTCTCCATTGTTGATCGAGGTGAACTTGAACCCTGTCTGCAGTACCACAGGGCTTTGACCTTTGATCCCCGTGACTGAAGTTTAAGGCACTGTGCTGCAGGGGTCTCTGTCATAAAGAAAGACTTGATGGGGGAGGGTGAGTGACTTTCTGTGGAATTCCCCAGAATGTGTTAATTCCTTCCATGTGGAACAAGACAGACAGAATTGGTGGGCATACAGTTTAGGGAGGGTAGCTTGAACAATTGAGTATTCAGTTTTCATAGGGAGAAATGTGAAATCCTGGAAGACACAGTTAAGTCAGTTTAGAGGCTTGAGACACAGGGCATTGGCTATAAATCTGTGTCACTTACAGCACTCAGCAGCTAACACTTTACATGGGACAAAGTCATACAATGTCTTATTAATGTCGTTCTCTCCACCAGGGAAGTGACTAGTCTGTTGTTTCAAAGTCAGTATAGCTAAGTGTTCTTGCAGTTATTTTTATCATTTTAAAAAACCAATTATTGATACCATTTTTAAAAATTTCATTTTCTTTAAATGAATTATTTGTCTAATCTCTATTTGTTTCCCTTTTCCTATGTTCTTTGTCATTAGGAATTTCACTCTATTTAGTGCTATTTATTCAGTTTTGAGCGGTGGTCCTCAACCTGTGAAATTGAGACTTCCTTTGGGGGGGGTGTCAAACAGCCATATCATGGAGGTCATCCAAGACTTATCAGAAAACTCAGATATTTATATTACAATTCATAACAGTAGCAAAAGAATAATTATGAAGTAGCACTGAAAATAATTTTGTAACTGTGGGGGGATAGTCACCAGAACATGAAGAACTGTATTAAAGGGTCACAGCTTTAGAAAGATTGAGAACCACTGGTTTAGATCAATGTCTTATGTTGCTCAGGCTTGCCTCACACTATGTAATTGAGAATTGCTTTGAACAACTAATTCTGCCTCTGCTGCCCAGTGCTGGGAAGACAGTCCTGCAACTGCTTATGCTGGGCCTTGACTTGTCAGTGAGAAGGAAAAATATGCAGGTTAATGAGTGTCCTCCAACTCCCTGGCTTTTATTGGGAACATAAATTCTGTGGGACATGTGTAAGAACTGAGTTCACTGGCCAACTAAAGTGGGTGAAGTCACAGCACAGAAAGGGATGGGCAAGGAGGGTGAGAACTTTCCTGTTGTGACAGTAGTTGGCAATGAATGAGTAGTGAGGTAATCAATTTTAGGTGATTGAGAAGTGTCCTGACTGGCCGTTTCTCTGGTCCACAGATCAGGCAATTATGACTCTTCATAAGAACTGAAGTTCTTGCGAAACAAATTACAGTACTTTAGTTCAAGCAAAATAGAAGGTCTGGGTATAATGGCATGGCCCTGCCTGACAGGACTGTGTTTTCCTGAGAGGAGTAGCATGAGTAGTACTTGGTGTGCTCTAATACAAACCCCTAGTCTTTGAAGCACATGACCATAAAGCCTGTTTCAACCTTCTGTCATGATTTTTAAGGATTATAGTTACATCATTTCCACTATATCTTTCCTGCCTCCAAGTCCTCCCATAGACCCTCATTGTTTTTTAATTTATGACTTCTTTTTGCTTTAACAAGAGTTACTGTTTAAGTGTGACCTATTTTTGGCTGCAGGACTTCCCAGCTATGAAGCAAGGGTTGGCTGCACTAGACATTGAGTGTGTAAAGGAATGTGCACACAGAGGACCCTCTGCCTTGGAAGAGGAACAGGAAGTGCTCTTGGAGAATGGGAGATTCTGCTAAACTACAGATTTCCCAGGCTAGGGCCCTGAATTCAGGTGTGGGTGGCCAGAACTGGGAAGGCCTGTGCTATCTGAGTCATTTGATCTCTGCTCACCCAGTAGGGGAGCTGCAGCTATCCTGAGGCCCAGATGGGTGGCCCTAGCTATTGAAGGACCCTGGGAAGATTTAGCAATCAAGAGCACCAGTAGGAGTTTCTTTCCAGGATTCTTCTTTGGTTCTGCTCTAGGGAGATGTGAGGGAGACCCCAAGCCATGCCATGGTGTATGTGGACCCCAGGCCAGGAATAGCTGAGTTCAATCTCTGACTAGAGTAAACTGTGAACCATACTGTGGTTCTGTTGGTCCATGTTGGACAGTAGCCCTTGGCTTCTGAGCCTCCCTGAATGTGGATTCCTTAGGGATGGGAACCAGTGATATTTGTAGCACCACTGTCCAGTGTCCACACACAGGTATTACTTTTAATGTGCAGTGGGAAGACAGATTGGGTGAAGGTCTACTTTCTAGGAGTTCTGAATGTTGCATTTCCCCATTCAGTTTTGTGTGATAACTTTACAAATAGCTTAGACACTGGTAGAAGAGAGATGATGGGATCATCCTTCAGCAGTACTCAATCGGGAAATTCTGTTCCAGAGGACAAAAGGTGTTTCTGAGCTGCAGGGGTTTTCGGGTGTGTGTGTAGTGTTGCTTTGGTGGAGAGGGCAGATTCCACATCTTGTGCCCTAATCCAGGTGGCAGGAAGCAGACTTTAAATTATTTTTGGGGGCTGGAGTGGTGGCCCAGCGGTTAAGAACACTGACTGTTCTTCCAGAGGTCCTGAGTTCAATTCCCGGCAACCACATGGTGGCTCACAACCACCTTGAATGAGATCTGGTGCCCTCTGCTGGCATGCAGGCAGAAGGCTGTATACACAGTAAATAAATAAAATATTAAAAAAAATTATTCTTGTACATTGTCTTGTGTGTGTGGACATCAGTGGGGCAGGGTTTTCCTGAAACCACAAGGGTGCAAGAGGCAGGAGCCACAGAGTCGGAGCCCACGTTTCTGAAGAACTCCATTTCCAGAGAGAGCTCCAGAGCATGGGGCTGTGTAGAAGAGACCAGTAGCTGGAAAGTCAGGGATATAACAACTGTCTGTTATACCCACCTTTTCATTTCTGATCTTATTAATTTGGATATTTTCTCTGTCTCTTAGTTTGGATAAGAGTTTGTCTATCTTATTGATTTTTTTTCTCAAAGAACAAACTCTGTACTTCATTCTTTGTAGTGTTCTCTTTGTTCCTATTTTGTTAATTTTAGTCCTCAATTGGATAGTCCTTGCTGTCTACACCTTTCTGGTTTGCTTACTTTATAGCAGAGCCAATGTATCTGGTGCAAACTAGGTTTTGAAGTATTGTTTTGTAAATGGTCAGTAATTGTTATCTGACATTTATGGAGTTGTTTTTCCTGTAGGAGCTTCAGAGCCTTTGCATGACTTCAGCCATAAGACATTTCTGGCTAATCAGGAAGTCTTCTAATGGCTGAGAATTGCTTGGGTATTGTATTCCTTCAGACAACTCCTAGATTAGATCAAAGGTTCTGGGATGTGAAGACTGATTTGCTAACATTACTATTTGTGTAGCAGTCAATAAAAACGCTTCTGCAAGGCTGCTTAGTGTTCAGTCCACTGAGGCGACCCCTTGCTCCTGTAAGGCTCCATTACATCCCCCAGTGTTTCTTTCTTCGTTTCTCCCACATGAAACAGTTTACCAACATTGTTTTTGTTGTATAGCTTTCAGGTAGGTGTGCTGTTAAGTTGCAAGTGTGAAATCCTCCCCCCTTTTAAAGATTTATTTATTATGTACAGTCTTCTGTCAGCATGTATGCATGCACACCAGGAGGGGGCACCAGATCTCATTACAGATGGCTGTGAGTGCTGGGAATTGAACTCAGGTCCGCTGGAAAAGCAGCCAGTGCTCTTAACGTCTGAGCCATCTCTCCAGTCCTCCCCCTTTTGTAATGTAGGCCATGAGTGCTATCAGGTTTCCTGTTAGCACCACTCTCATTGTGTCCCATAAGTTTGGGTATGTTGTGTATTCAATATCATTGACTTCTAGAAAGTCTTTAATTTCTTTATCACTGTCATCCTCATAGCCATTCAGTAGAGAATTGTTCAGTTTCCATGAATTTGTAAGCTTTCTGTTGTTTTTGTCTAGTTTTAATCCATTGTTTTCTGCTAAGGATGCTGTTGATTATTTTATTTTAATTTTCTCTTATGTGTTGGGACTTGCAGTGTGTTTGAGTATGTCATCATTTTGGGGGAAAATTTCATGAGGTGCTGAGAATATACTTTTTTTATGTTTAGGTGGAATGTTTTGTACATATCA